GGAAAAATATGGTCAATTAAATGATAAATCATGAGATAAAGTTCCTTTTTAAAATTGAATTAATGTATTTTAGGTGTGTTTATTTCTTTATTGGTCCTTTTCTATATTTGTTTTTATTTCTAATTGTGTCAGATTTGGTCGTCCATCATCACGGTGCAGACAGTGATGGATGTGTTGGTTCTGCTGGTTTTGTTTGTTTTGTTTGTGTTCAGCCTGTAACAGTTTCTTCTGGTCTCCATCAGATCCCAGAGTGTGGGTTCTACGGGATGCAGGAGAAGATCCTCCTGTTCCGTCACGACCAGACGTCGGACAACCTGCTGCAGCTGCTGCGCTCCGCCTCCCACATCCAGGAGGGAGACCTGGTGGAGGCCATCCTGTCAGGTGTGGACACCACAACCAGAGACCAGAGACCAGAACCTGCTTTTGTTTGTGTTGGTGTTAGAGTTCAGCTTCATGTTCTCCTGGAGATCAGCTCCACAACAAGAACACTCCGTTCTCTCCACAAGAACCAACAAATGAAAACAAAGGTTTTTTTTYTTTAGTCAAGCTGAGCGAACCTTCTGCGTGTTGTTGGTTGTTGTGTCGCAGCAGATTGGGAAGAAATGTTCTGAGTGGCAGCGTTAACACCCCCCTCAGCCTGGAGCCCCCCGGTGTCCAGATGTTTGGAGCTCAGGCTGGAGCGTCTGGCTGCTCTCCAGCAGAGGACTCAGGTGTTCACACGCAGCGGCGCTAACAGGCCGACAGCTGCTGCTTCCTAATGTCCTGTCTCCTCGTCACATCACGTGTGTGTGTGTGTGTGTGTGTGTGTGTGTGTGTGTGTGTGTGTGTGTGTGTGTGTGTGTGTGTTATAATTAACATGTTGTTGTACGCAGCCTCACAGACAGACTGCATCCTGGTTGTCCAAACTCTGCAGGAAGTTGGAATCAACACGTTCTCAGAGGAAACATCTCAMCTCTGGAACAAATGTTTGGATCCTGCAAACATTCAGCTGCATTTTTACGTTTGTTGTTTTAAATCTGGACTGAATCATTTTCTCCTAATGTTCTTCACACAACGTCCCAGAAATGAAAATCAGACGTAGTTTTGTGAAGCTTGGAGCAGTTTCCACAGATCGTCCTTCAGATGTTCCTACAACCTGTTTGGACGAAGGTTTTAGAGAAGAACGTTGATGTTGGAGCTTCAGGCTGATTTTCAGGTTTATGTTGATTCTTTGATTTTAATGAACTCACAGAATCATTTAATTAATAACAGCTAATCTTTTATTACTGGTTTACAGTTTTCATCTCAACAGCTTGACCTGAGAACAACAGCTGACCAAACAAAAAGAATAATGTATTTATCATAAAACCTCCTAATTTAAAGTCTTGTTTTTAGTCTTTATCTGAAGCTAACCTCAGTTCACAGCTTCCCTAAACTTAAAATGAAGCTTCGCCTCATTAGGACCAAGTTATTTTCATAAAAACTACTGGTTCTGACGAGGCCAGCAATTATTTCAGAAAGGTCCTTACACACACACATTTCATTTTCTGAAGCATATAATAACAGTTTAGGAACTTGTTCAGACCTTTAAACCTGTGTTGACCCTCCAAACAAAAGGCATAAACAGTAATTTGAATAAATGGAGGTAATTTTCTGCTGCAGAATGTTCAATCAGGGCTGTATTCTGCTGGAGGACGCTCACACGAGCTGAGACTTTCACATCAGAAAACATCTGGGAAAAATAAAACAGGCAGGAAAAAACTGAAGCGTGGACAAAAAGAGAGAAAAGGATGAAGGAACTGTCCTCATATCATCATCATCATCATCATCATCAGTCAGATGATCTTTGATTGTTGTTCTCAGCTCTTCTGGACCTTCATCTCCTGACAGTCCAGGTGCATCACAGACTAAACAACATTTCAGCTGATTTATCAGTTTGATTCATGGAAACATTATTAAAAAGCTTTTTTTATAAGAAACCTTCTGTTTGATGATTTTAAAGGGACAAAATGATGTAAAATAAACTTTTTTGAGCTTTATATCATGTTATAATGTCATCCTCTCATCAAAAACATGCCCAGAGTCTGACTTTGACTCTTTCATGCATGTTTGAGAAATCCTGCAGCAGGGGTGTCACTAGGTTTTAAGGACAAGGGGGGCTTTTCCCCCAGGAGACGCACAGAATTTTTGTATATTATATACTTTGTGTGTGTGTGTGTGTGTGTGTGTGTGTGTGTGTGTGTGTGTGTGTGTGTGTGTGTGTGTGTGTGT